ACACAAATTACAGTGTGGTTTTAGGCTCCAATCCTGCAAACATGTATATATGTGAGTAATTTTACCCATACGAGTAGTCCAATTGGGCCCTTAGTATGTAGCCACAAAAATATGCTCCTTAGGGGCCAAATTCTCAGACCCATACTCATTTGAGAAGCACCTTAATTTTATGAATAGTGCCGTTGATTTCAGTAGGATTACCCATGGAGTTAAGATGCCACTCTCAGAATCTGCCCTTAAAATTAACATAATTTATTTGAAGGACACAGACCAGAATAACACCTCTTACAATCAACTGAACAGTAAGCTAAATAATTTTAGCATACTAAACTGTTTCAGAATAGGATAACATATGTTAGAGCTAGTTACAATTTTTCAACAGCACAGTTTTCTGTCAGAAAATGTTTTCAAATCAAAATGGGAATCAACGGGAACACGATTTGACTAAATTTTTGACAGAAATTTCAAAACAATTTGAAATCACAATAGAGTATCAATTTTCTTGTTTGTGTTGACTTTCTTGTTTTGTTCTGATTGTTTTGTTTCAACTTTTATTTTATTTAACTTTTCCCTATATAACAATACTATAATATTTAACATTTTAAAATATATTATAATGTTTTGACATTATCAAAACAATATTTAATAAGGTTGCTTTGATTTTCCTGACCTGAAATATTTCAAAATTTCTGCTTTTCCTATGGGTTTGTGATGGGAAAAAAATCTGAAATATTGGACTTTTCCACAGGACAGAAATTCCATTTTCAGACTAGCTCTTTAAGTATATTTTAGTTCCAGATGGAGGAAAGACAATAATGAATCTCAATTAATTCCACCATGAATCAGTGTTACCAATCTTTGAAGAATGATCAAGAATTCCTTCTCAATATTCAAGACCTTAGAAGAAACTTCCACTAAAGTCCTCTTTGTCACTTTGTTTTTCTAAGCAAGAACACATTTTTATTTTTTTAATCATATGAGCTGGTCGGGTCTTTTCCTGTATTTTTCAAGCCCTAATGTTTTATTAACCAAACTCGTTGCTTTAGACTTGAGCTCATGTTCTCTGAGGAAGTACAAGTGGTAATTATGCAAGTCTTTCCTTCCCTGTCATAGGCAACATTCACCAGGAAGATTTACAACCTTTACCTTTCAGATATGGGGACTAGTTGTTTAACTAGAGTAAGAATAATTCTGACAATGTAAATACTATCAGAATTGGAACAGTTCCTCCAGGAACTAGTCATTTGGAAGGACCTGGGACTTTATTCTTGTATTGTTGTGGGTTTTTTTGTTTGTTTGTTTTGGGTTTTTTTTGGTATAACACATTGGTTCTACAGTGATTCCTGAGACAGGAATTAGTTGTATTTTGTTTAGTTTCAGAAGCCAGATAGACACTTTATATGTGATTTGTTTTACCTAACTGCATTTGTAAGAATCAAGATAACTTTCAGTCTGAATGATACCTATTCAGACCTAAGAAATACTATAAAATAACCCTGGACAAATTCTTATAATTTGGAGAGATTTTAATAGGAGATTATATTCTTTCACAGCAATGGAGTACTGATCTCCAAAAATGCAATCATGAAACCTATAAACAGACATTCTGTAAATTAACTTCCATATGAAGCCATAATGTGGTGATTTCATTTTCTAGCTAAAGAGTTCAACATATGGGATACTCAGTCTGTCTCAATTCCATATGGGCCAAATTCTGACTCATGTGGGGGAAATGGTATTGCCCCCCATTCCTTTAAACATATATGAGCCAAAAGCAGTAGCAGGGTCTGAACCAAAGCACGTTGAAGTCAGAGGGAGTCTTTCTATTGACAACAGTGTGCTCTGGATTTGGCCCCTAATGCATATGCTTATTCTGATTGACAACAGTCCTTTGCACAACTCCTGGCTTCACATATTCTATTTGAGCCAAGAGTAGGGCTAAAACATGGGAGCGGTGTGTGTGTGAGGAGGCTACGCAAAAGGCTTGGTTCAGACAGGTATTGTTTATACAGGTATAATACTTCTAATAACCAGGTCCCTCTGTGCCATGCATCAACTTTATCACTTTTCAGTGGGGTCATAATAAGGACCTTTTTTCATACCAGGTACAGATTTGTTCAGTGCTTTTATGGCCTATGATTGTGCTCACACCTAGACAGAATTTGGCCACCTATGTTAAAAACTACACAAATGCCCCTCATAAAAAAATAAAATTAAATGTAAACTCTATAAACAAACTGCATATGGGGAGCCAAATCTTTAGACGTCAGCACCTAAGTTAAAGCTAGTGACTCCTCCTTCATGTGCTTGCACCATCAATTTGGTGTCTGGAATGGAAAAACACCTAAGTACCCATAGCAAGTATTTCAGTGGACAAGTGAAGAATTAATCTCAGAGTATTTTTCTACAACCTCACTCTTTTATTTTGTGTGTGTGTATTGACCCAAACGAGTGGTATCGTTTATAAAAAATAGAAATATTAAAAAAGACAAAATAACAAAAAGCAAACACATGTCCCATGTAAAATAGGTGATGACAGTATGATGTGCGATATTTTTATTACCACATATTTGGCAAGACTTGGATAACTCACATTTAGCCAAAATATATATAAATAAAAATTTGCTAGTACTCCACACGATCACATATTCGGTATGTATATTTCCTCTCATCATATATAAAGCAGACATTCCTTACCTTACCTGCATTTTGGTTAATCATAGATCAGCAGTAATGTCCCTCAGGTTGTACAGCCTTTTAAAAACTGGACAGGTAATCGTGAACTGTCATGTATCATCACTTCACTGCCTTCTGGAGCCATCTAGTTTCTCTTCACTGCCTTCCACAGCCCTCTTAGCTGGCTGGTACATCTGAAGTTTGCTGGCTGCTCTTCACTGAGCTCTGGGATGGAGAACCCAGAGCAGTTTACAGCTGCCAGAACATCTGGAGTCCACTGGCTTCTCTTGGGTAGGGACCCAGAGCACAGTCTTAACAGCTGTGCAGCTGGCTCCCCCCTTCATCTGAAACTGTGTTTATCCAAAGGTTTCAGACTTTGCCAGAGACCTTTGGATACATGGGTTATACTGTGCATGTATGTATGCTCTTCTATATTGCAAAACCTAGTGTTCATTTCAATCATTATATACATTGACTTTAGGCTGCATTTATAGATGTCACTAACTCTCCCTCATACGAGTGACAATCTTGTGCTGCAGTAGCTAATGTAGGCCAAAGAGGAAAGGCAGAGAGAGTATAAAAACAAACAAACAAAACAAGTCCTGATTCTACAATTGGATCCATGTGGGTGGACATCTGTGGCTGGAGCTTCATTGTAGCATCAGGGCCTATTTGGAATAAACAAAATACATAGTGGTGGGGCAGGCTACATCTAGTGGAGGTAGGGGTTTGCCCATTGTTTGAGAAGCCCTGCAAAACTCACTCATTGCTCTGCTACATGTGTAAAATAAGGTCACTCCAAGCTGCTTGCAGTAAAATGCAGACAGTACCCTACATCATCAAATATCCTTTCTTATCTCTGGGCAGCGTTCTGCCCTGGGATCTGTGCAGAGTCCCAGCTAATTTCAATGGGAGCTGCACATGTGCTTTAGAGGGTAGAATTGGCTTTATTTCCCATGGATCAGTAATTAAAAGTTTTACTTTTTGGAGTAGAGAGGTGACCCCAAAATCTGAAACTAATGGAAACAAATTCATATAATTACAAAGCCTCCTGTTTCATACTTCCTGACAGGTCTTAATGCCAGCCAGGATGTACTTTACATAGATTACCAGATTTCTTTCAGGGCCAAATCCTGCTCTCAGAGCATAGCACAAGCAACCAGATATGAACTGGAACTTCTACAGTCGATCATTTGGTTTCCCCCAGGCTACAGAGTAGCATTGAGCCCCTCTGTCCTATTACTCATCCTCAGAGCTGCAGCACTTCTCCATCTTTGAGCCACTGGGCAGAAACACAGATCTGTCACCTCCTTCTGCACAGCCAAGCCATAAATCACCTGATTCTGCTGTGCCCAAGATGGGAAAGAGGCAGGACCTGCCCCAAAAAACAAGTAGTGATCTACTATGAAAAGCAGAATTAAGAATGGGCATTGATATGTTGCTGGATGAATTCTAATGCACCATATGTGTTGTCCGAATAATGAGCCAAGCAATCATGAATGATTACAGTTGGTCCAGAAAGAAGATGTTATGAGCAATCAATACTCAATTTATAGTGTTCCAACTCCAATCCAGATAGCATAAGTAAAATACATAATAAATATAAATAAATGCATTTAGATGTAGTTAATAGTGCAACTTAATATCCCATGTAAGTACAATATTATATAGCCTTATATTGCTCTTACCGTGAGGAGTAATTTATAGGTAAAGAAACAGAGCTTAAAACTAAGAGACTGTGTTTTTAAATAATCTACCTGAAAAGCATACTTACTTACCTTTTCTTCTCCTGCTATGCGTGCACTGAGTTGGTCCAGGGAGTTCTATGAGGTAAGAAATTCCTGTCCAACAAAAGTTCCTTTTCTAAAAAAATGAACATAATGGAAAAGGCGAATAACTTACCAGGCAGCTGAAAAAGGAGCTGACTGTGTAGAGAATTTCACACCTAATGGCTTTTGGTCAGTAAAGTATATAAACAAAATGTAATTTTCTATGCAATTACAAAGGTCACACAAAATACTATGTTTTAGAAAACCACTCAAAGACTATATTGCTCACTAAGTCCTTAATTCTGAAAACACTTCCTAGCATGAGTAACTTTACCTACCTTACATAAGTAAAGTTACTCTGGTGTGTAAGTGTTTGTGGGATTGGGGCCTAAGAGACAGTTTTCTTTTTGAAAAAGTTTGTATAACAGTAACAGGAAGATAAATTACTTTGAATGGTAGCAATTAGAGAAATGAGGAGTGTGATGAATTTACCATGTGGAAAACATCTTATATTGTTTATAGTCATTAAACTTAGCTTTAATGACACTACACTGATTTTCAGAAAGAAACAGTTTATTTGATGAATAGAAACAAGCTGATCAACAGTAAGTACTTCCCATACACATGATAATAATGTTATGATCTCTAAATACCTTGGTACTTCACACTTTTACTGGACATTAAATTACAATGACTGTCTAATACATGCCCACTGGTAATTTCTAAGGATTCCTTAGTTTCATATCAATGTCCTTAACCACATATCAATATCACAATCCAGAACATGCCACTCACTTGAGAAAATTATTACATGAAGCACTATCAAATGAGGGGTTAAGGTAAATAGAGAATACTGACCCATTGTTGTAGAACATCACATTCCAACATCACTCTACACAAAAAAACAACCCTCCCCCCACACACATTGCAGATATAGTTTGTGTCAACACATCTGAGGTCTTTTCATAAACACTGTTGAAAAAGAAATTTAAACCCACTTTCAAATGAAAGTCAATGTGCAGTTACGTGCATACTAGATACACAAAATTAATTAAATACAAAATTCATACTGTACATTTAAATGAAAGAAAGAATGTGCAGTACAAGCCTGATTCCACACTAAAATAATAATTATCTTAAATGTTAGCCAAAAGTTGGTTTAATTGGTTACATTTGGAAGGGGGGGGAAACTACCAAACATTGCTGAAATAAAATATTTTCCCAACATCACAGTGTTTATTGTAAACCCCGAGATTCTATTTCAGTATATGAAAAGATTTTTCTCCAAACATCATAGATATCACATGAAATGAAAAAAACAAAATGTTAGACAATTTCTTTTTCTTTCGGGACTAACTCATAGCCCCTGATAAAAGTTTAGGTCAATACTCTTACAATATGAATGGAGCAAAAAGTGCTCCTAAAATAATGTCTGTGACAAAATTGGCACATACATATAAATATCTAACTATACAGTTTTGTTTTTATGACCCTATTTTCCCCTAGTTTATTTCCTACTTCAAGTATTCAGTTGCAGAGTTAAGGTAAAGACCTGATTGTAAGAGACACAGAAGGTTGTCCCTTACTGTGACAACAAGTTCTTCACAAGAAACTAGTTCTGTTGTCTGAGTTTGCAAGTGCAACATTTGTCATATGTGCTAAATAAACTCCAAGAGCTTTGCTGTTTTGAAAACAAAGATCTAAAATTCCATTGATAGTTAAAGGACAAACTTTTTAAACATGAATGAATTTGGATCACTTATGCTATCCTAATTCCATACATTTTATTCTATTTACTGAGATGAAACATCAAGAAGGACTCCTGCTTGACTTAGTTGCTCTTTATTTGTACCAAAAATGATGGTACAACTAAATAAGATACTGTTTTCTACACAACAATCATTTTAAAGGGGTTAATATAGGTATGGCTCACACAGGATGTTACTTCAGGGATAATTGCACCAATGATTTAAAAAAATAACATTTTTCTAAATTCAGTGCAAGACTTTTGGAATAACCACATTAGAATCCTTTTTTTACAGCAGCAAAGAAAAAACTACTAAGAATTAAGGCCACCCATGCTTAAATTCATTGTTTGTCCTTTAATAATGCAAATATTCAATTGCCACTCACGTCAGTATAGAAGTACTTCTTCCACTGACAAAAAGAGAGATGCATCAGTAAAACAGCTGAACATTTGCATGTTTGCCAGACTGACTGAAAATGGTTATGAAGTTGTAAGGATCCTCTCTCTGAGGAAGTGGTAGAGATTTAACTCTCATTTGTGTCTCATCACTCCATTAGAAAGACTTCAGATTTTTCTTTTTCCTGGCATGTGCTTTAAATTATTCATCTTTACTTGAAATTCTTTGTTGATACAGACAGCTTTTCATTTCTCCTTACTCACTGATATTTTCTTGTTTAACATTGAAAATTCATTGGGATCCATGATGGAGGCTGTTTGTTCACTATAGAAAACAATGACAAATGGTCCTTCATTTATAGGAGGCCTAACGCATATACTGTATTCACAGCATTCTTATCTTGATATATTTATGAGTCCCAGGTTTTATTAATACATACCTGTATGCATGTGGATGGTAAAAGGTTGATCCACTTCTGTATATGTGTGCATGTATACACATATGTACATTTTCATACCTCAAGCTTTTACCATCCACTAATATATAAATTTGGTATGTAAATTATTGATGATCAATTTAGATGCCCCATGCATTGTCAGAGACACACATCATATTTTCATAAGGCTAATCCTTGCCAACAGCAAGTAGTACCAAAAATTGATTTCATTTCCAACCTGGCCCAGAGCTTAATACTCGTTACACTATCAAAATGTGATTATTTGAGTAACAGTAGATAAGAAAACAGAGGAGGCTTTTACTTAGTTTTTACTTTTCTGAAAAGCCCACTTCTAACTGGGGGTAAGATTAACGCAGACTCCATTATATAACAGTGTACTAATTCCTTGAATGCACTTTAGAAGTGTTACTGTAGAATACGCTAGGCAGAATCAGCAGATGAAGATACTGCACCTAACAGAACCTGAATTACACATTAAAAATCAATACCAATTAATCAGCATTGCTTAAAAGACTCCATTTAACTGAACTTCATTAAATAATAATATTCTGAACACAAGGCCCATTAAAGCTGGAAATGAAGTTCTTATAATTTCTGACTGAGTCCCCTTCATTATCATCCAGAGTATCTGACTTCATAATGACTACAAGAAATAATGGAGAAGACACCAATTTATGCAGCATTTCATCTGTTAACAACCTCAGCATTCATCTTCTGTTTCTATGATCTGCTCCAGGATGTCATGGTTACATTTGGAGATCCACTGCAATAGAGTATCAGTTTAATTCTGCAGTGCTGCATTTTTTCCTCTTCTTTCTCCAGCTCCTCTGATAACTGTAACAACACAATAAACCATTCCAATTATTAAAATGCTTGACAAGTACAAATAGTCCCAATTCTTACCCAGTCAAGGCTCTCACGCAAGTGAGAAGAAATTTTGCTTAAATAGAGAGTGAGTTAGAACTTAAAGATGTCCAGATTTGAACCTATTATATTTATAGAATGCCAGTCATCCTAGTACCTAGGCCCATGTTTATTTCTTCTACTGTTTATTTGTACAGCAAGATCTGAAAGACTGGGGCTGCTTTTAAATTTCAAAGATGTGAGAAACCACTGGATATTGTGATTTTTTTTACATGTTAAACATATTTACATTTCTTATGCAAATGGGCAGGATCTTAGGAGTGGAAGTGGTGCAGTTGCTGACAAACCTAAAGGTCTTTATTTTGAAAGAAGGCAAGATCCTTTCATTTGCCTGCAAGTAGAAAAGCAATTACTATTTGAAATAAGAGCCTGGTGCTGCTGCCCCCCGCCTCCCCCCCAAGAGGTGCTGAGGGCCCTTAATTCCCAATGAATTCCATGGCAGGTCAGGGTATTCCGTACCTCTCAGGACCTTCCAGAATTGAGAGTACTGAAAACAACAGAACATTTTACCAGTATATTTTAAAGTAAGTCCATTTCAATTTGCTAGAAAGTAGATTGAGGTATTTTAGAAATGCAAATCTCAGATTTATAGAAGGTTAAAATATACAAATGTTCACTATGACCATTTTTGTCCTGTAACCACTTACCCACAAGAATTGTACTTACTAGTATGAGTAGTGCTATTGAAGTCAATGGGATTTCTCAAAATAATAAGCACTATGGGCCGGAGTCACAACCCTAGGAAGTTAGTGGAAAGACTCCTACTGCCTTCCATGGGCTTTGGATCAGGCACAAAATCTGGTAGTAAGTATATGCAGGGTCAGGCCCAACTCATTGTAATTGCAACAGAACTCAAGTAACAATAAAATGCCTAACAGCCTTGAATACAGTGCAGTCAAACAGTCTTATTCAGTACATGTGCACGTCAGAAAGTGGGAGTGGGGAGAGAGAACCAAACAATTATCCTGCAGTGCATGTGCACATTAATTTATTGAGTTTGTGAATAAAAAAGGACAAATGCATTTACCTACTAGGATTCTCAATTGTTGGTCTCACTTTCACGTAACTGACAAGTTTCCCTAATGTTCGTTTAAAAATGACATAAAATATATTATTACATTCAACAAATCATCTTTCTGGTCTTGATACTGTTAAAAGACTATGATGAAGTTGTTTTGTAAATAGAATTATTTGGCTAAAATGGCGTTTTATTTTTAAAAGCTAACACTTTATCAGTGTGGTTATTCTGAAAGTGCAGCTCCACACGGCTTAAGTGCTGTGGACAAACAAACATGCAAATAATTTGAAATCTGTATTTACAGGTACATATCTGTGTGGTGGCTGCGTATATTTATAGTCAGATGAACTATCAATCTTCCTACAAGAACTTCTTACAATTCTTTTGGTTAAAACACTTAGGGCCTGATCCAAAGCCCATCCAAGTCCTAGGAAAGATTCCCACTGACTTAAACGGGCTTTGGATCAGGCCATTGAATAGGAAAAAAATGACTTCTGCAGAGCTGGAAAGCAAGGGAGTTCCTAAAGTAGATCATGTTACTAGTTCTGGCACATAAAATCTTTGCAAACTTTTTATGAAAACGGTAAGTCAGAGCACGTGTTACATTTTGTGAACTGTGCATAGTTCCCATTCTTTTGTGTACTGAGGATTTTATAATCATCCAAAGAGATATATAGATACAGGAAACACCCATGGAAATTAATTAGAAGTGTACATTCCTGCAAGTATTAGAACAAAAAATGTCTACACCATTTTTTTAACAGGTTGGGAAATGAATAAAACAACCACAATGACTGTTTTATCACAATCTTCTATATACCTTGATATTTTACAAGCTAAAGCACCTTTGCAATTAACACTCATTTATGCTGTTAAACGTAAAGAATTCAGATCAAACAATGCTAGTCTGAGGAAAAGCAATCAAAGGCAAAATACAATCTCTCTGAAGTCCATTTTCCTACTTTTCATTTAGGGTTTGATGTACAATAACAGAACTCCTGGATAAAACTCCACCCACTTAATCAACCAATCCATTCTTCAGGAAACTAGATTATTGAAAGTACACCACACATGGGAAATGCACAAAATTTTTCAAATAAGTCAAATAAATATATAAAAGGATATTGCTGTCAAACGCCTACTAGGTCTGAGTAAATATAATTTATATTTGTGTTTCTTCAATGCAGTACACAGCCTACACTGAAAAAAATATAAACCTAAGATTTGGCTAGATATATTGGACCTGATATTCAGAAGTGCTGAATACCCAGAACTCTGAATGATGGCAATGGGAGCTACAAGTGCTCAGCACCTCAGAATGTCAGTTAGATATCACTGAATGAAAATTACACAGGGATCTGAAGATATAAAAAGTGTGATTGCTCACAATGTATTTTCAGAATATTTTTCTTTTGGATAAAGACACCTGCCTGATTACTAGTTTCTGCCTCCAGTCCAGTTCCTTTCAGTGGTTATTTGCAGAGAGGGTAAACACAAAGGGGTTAAAGGGGAAACTGTTTAATAACGGTAGTAAAATGCAAGCTATTTTTGACATCTGGGTTAATGTCCATTATGTTCCATATGCTTTCCAAATGTTTGCAACAAGCACCCTCATACAAAAACAGATACTCATTCACATAGCCTTAAATTGCCCTCTTCTAACCTGTTACACATTGTACCAGCATAAAAGACCAATAACTGATATGGTCATTAGTGAGTGAGAGAGAGAAAATAGCCAGTTATTGTTAGAAAATTGCTATCTAACCAAATGTTGGTACTACAAAGCTATCATTAATCAAAATCCAGTAGGGCCATTTCTGCTCCTTAACAATCTATTAGAAGACATCTGCATTATGACTTAATATCTTTAGAAATGTTGTCAGAATGAATTCCCTGTATTCCTAGTGAAGATTTATTTATTATTATGATCAAAGTACTAACAGATTATGTTAAATAATTTACTTTTCTTGCTCTAAGCAACTAGCCAAAACAGTAATAATTCAAAAATAGGATTAGAGACCATTGATACTAGCAGTTTTAATACTGTGCTATGGAATGCCACATTATAATCTGAATGCAATTGCGATCCAAATGCATTCTTAAGTATTTGTGGTCAACCCCAAACTATGAAATATTGAGATGGGTAATGAAAAATGGCATGGAATTCTATTCCTGATTCTGCCACTGACTCACTATCTGACCTTGGGACCTTTCTATGCCTTAAACCCCCTTATATCGGAAGGTAATTAACACAGAACTACCTCACAAGGAGTTGTAAGGCTTAATACCTTTAATGTGCTTTGAGATTCTTGGATGGGTGCTAAATATTATTATTTTTCAGTCTCTGTATTTGATTAAAACTATATATCATAATAAAAGATTACTTTCATATACTGAATTACGAGTAAAAAGTGAGTCTGTGGTTTGTTCAGATACTTGTAACTGTCAATATTAGCATGTATTACAGAATAGGTGATTCCCAAGGTCTTCAGTGACAAGTACCATGTGGGCATAACTGAAAAACTGCAGTTGGATTCAGCTAAGAATCTGCTCACGACTTCAGGGCAATCCTGCATTTTAGATCAATGAGAATCTTGAGGACTGTTTTTCCCCTTCCTCTAAAGTGCAGATGCAAACATAGTCAAAATTTAGAAACTTGAAATTCAACACTCAGGACAACATTGGGTGCTTTTGTATGCAAATCTAATAGAAATGTGCTCCACTATAATTTTTCTTATATTAATACATTATTGAACACAATAGGCTACCTACAATTTGAACTCCTCTGTCACTGCAACCTGAGGACTTGTATTGCTCCTGTAATTTTTTGACTGCCAAATTCTTGGGAGGGGACAGTCAAATCCACAAAGAAGATTTTAAATCAATAAAGATCTGCCTGTTTCTAAATGAGTATAGCATTCTGTCAAACACTGCTATATGGATTTAAAAGTCTGTAGCAAAGAGGGCCAAACCAGGAGAAATAATTAAAATATAATTTTTTATCCAACCTGAAATAGAAAACTTGCAATACTGAGATGCCAAAGACACCTAAGACACTTGCTGAGTTAAGTGAAAAGGTAAAATCTTGTTTGAATTTATAGCATTCCTTCAGTGTCCCTCTAGGAGTTTGGCTTTATGCCAGTGTTCCTTGTTAAAAATTTGTTAAACGTGTTTGGCATTAATGCAAACACAAAGTACTCATTTGTTACCAATTCTATTGGAATGCATTCATTTAAGGCAATGAAGTAGTTACCAGAAAAGAAAAAATGTTCATTAAGTACATTTTAAAAATACAATGATGTATGCAGTGCATAACTATGGCGCCCCAATGGCTATATAAATATCTGACAGAATAACCACAAGTTGTGTTTGGTTTGAAATTGGACTCTTTTAAACATAACTGATAGAACAAAAACAGGTTTTGTTTGTTGTCAAAACTGATGTTAGTTTTTCTTGTTTAGAACTAGTTACAATAACCAAAGTTTTAGCATACAATTTCTTACATCTCAAATCAAGAAAACATACAGGTTAAAATAATGCAGAAGGAAGTCTCTTGCATCAAATTGTAAACTGAGCACTGCATATTCTATCCAGAAAACAAAACACCCTGCTTTCAGGAGAGCAAATTTTAGTCATTCTTAAAAATGCCACGTAGAGGAAATGACACCTGTTAGTTTTGCTATTGTCTGACAACATTTGGGTACATGTAGGCAAAATGGGCACCGTTTAGTCATAGTACAGCAAGAATAAAACAAACATCCCAAACCCTGTTTAAACAATTTAAATCTTAATAACTTACCCTCTTCTTCATGGTAACATTAAATATTCCTGAATAATGATAATTTCTTTATGAGAGACCATTTTGAAGTTTGTTTCTCAGACTTTAGAGACT